ATCTTCTAACTCTTAAGATCTCTAAGCTCTTTGTACCCGCTGCATAAATCTAAGGGGGAAGAATAGCTAAGGAAAGAAAAAGACTCCACCTTGATTAAGAAACATAGTGCTTTAGTTATTTGAACAGACATATACTAGATATAGGAGCATTTCTTTCAATATTTACCGAAGGCCTATTGTATGCTTAGCAAATTTGCAAATAGCACAAATGGAGGACACACAGCTAATGCTGAAAATGGATGGATCAGCATTTACAGCAATTGCAAAAGGCTGCACCAAATCTGACAGTACAAAATTTAACTAGGACACCTGTATGTCTTTTGCTGAAGTTCAAAAAAGCCAAAAACCAGCAATCTCTGGAGGGGACAGAATAACAGTTCATGTACAATGTTAGGCCATTTTATAACTGATGTCAAGTTTACTACAACTCAGTACTATGATGGAATTCCTTTTTTAACAAAGTACAGCGATCCTCCTCTGAATCTGCCTGCACTCTTGAGTGGGTACTTTCACCTAAAATAAAGCTTCATTTTTAACTCACCTAAATAATAATAATAATAATAACAGTAATAATAATAATGTGCAACCTTAAATTTCAATTCAATAACTGGTCCTCGTACTCAGATGTTGGGATGTCCAAGTCTTTTTTTAAAGATAAAGAAAACAGGATCTTAAAGAGAGAAAAATCCAGCCTTTGAGAAACACACCAAAAATCCAAATGTTTTTGAACTGTGAAACCTTTTTCCTGTTTACACTATTGCAACATGAGATACTAACATGCTGAAACACAGTGCAACTCTATCATTTAATTAGCCTATACTGAGCACTCATCTCAGGCCACCCATAAAGCCAAGTCCAGTATATACCCAAATGAATAGGATGTATACCTGCTCCCTGTCCCTCCTACAAGTTATAGCTAATGCTACCTTAATTACTTCATTTATTTGTTCAAGTGACATTTATTGACACCTATTTTCCTGTTCTTAGAGATCTTACAGTCTAATAAAATATAATTAGTGGGGAGAGAAAGACCAGCTAAACAAGATGCAGTGTGAATGAGAAGTTAACAGGGTGCTATGGGGCACAGGAGGGGAACTCTTCGGTCAAGGAAGGCTTTCCAGAGGTTGTAACAACTTACCCTGAGGACAAGCATCAAGCAGTCCAGCTGAAAAGAAGGTACAGGCATTTCAGGTAGAGAACTACAAGTTTTCAAATGACACTGCAGTACTGGGCATTTGTGAGGCCAAAACAGGAAATGAAAGTAATGAAATTGACGGGGACAGATGATGAAAACACTTTTATGTCATATTGTAGAGTTTGAACTTTCCCCTAAAAGTAGAAGGGAAGCATCGATGGATTTTAAGTCAGGTCTGTGTTTCAGGAAGATCATTCTGAGAGTTTAGGGAAAGGCAGGGGGAAATTAAGGAAACAGATTATTTCAACAGACCTAGAGAGAAAAAAATGAAGACTCAAAATAGGAGGAAGTTTTAAGAGTAATGAGATAATATACATAAATACAAGTCTGGATAGGGCGTATTAGAAACTATTTAAAATCCTAAATACTAATTGAGTGCTACATTCTGCCTTGTAGATACATGGTTTCAGAACAAACTGTCTTCTTGCATCTTATTTACTTGTGCTAAAGGAATGGTGACTCGGAAATAAGGTTGTAAAAGCCATATACTTATATCATATAACCAGATTTCACTAGTAGACCATAACACCTAGAAAAAGTAGCTAAGGGAAGCTAAGGAATAGTAATCAGTGATTCCTTCCCCACATTTCTGCTGCACTCCCTTTACCTCTACACACACACACACACACACACACACACACACACACACACACACAGTCACCACATTTTCAAAGCAGCAACTCAATTTAACTGTCCAAAGGGAATGCTACAATAATTGAAAGGGAAGTGTCTAGGCTAGAGAAAACAGCCCTCAAATATAAGCAAGTCTAAGGTGGACAAGAGGGAGTAGACTTGATTTTTGCCAGACAGAATTTGGATGAATGAATTTAGGTTACAAAGAAGCAACTTTCAGTTAAAAAAGAACTCCCAGGTACCAATACAACCACCAGTCCATAGGCTGTATGTCATGTAAGCAGACCTCCGCCATCCAGCAGAGTGGCTTCTGACTTGGGTAGTTAGGACTAAGTAACAGGTTGGACCGGTTAGTATGTCAGGATTCTTCCAACTCTAAAAGCAAGATAAAATACTCTATCAACTTTAAGAGTAGAGGAAATCCGAAATCTAAACAAACATAGCCAGGGAGTACAAGAATACAGTATCTTATTAGAACTGCAGCACTGAAAAGGAATCTCAGAAACTAGTAGTTTTCAACTCTGAGAGAACCTTTTCAAACAAATCTTATATGGAACTCAACATGCAGTATTATTAAACAGCATACTGCCAATGGCATAGGTTCAAATACATGTTACTTATTTTAAAGTCAAATGACATACTGATCTGATCATTTTTAGAGACTGATTAGAAATTGAGTAATATTTTCTAACAATCTCAGCATTCGTTTTATTACCATGTTGTATTTAATTGCAGAGAACTATTTTTTAAACTAGTTTATACAAATAGAAAATAGTAACAGTGTCACAGTCTGCCTGGTAATCTCAGGATACTATTCAAATAAATTGGTAGGAGAGTCTGAAGGAATGTAGAAATATTTCCTTCAAAGTTAAATATATTTAATAGCTTAAAACTATGCTTTACGGGCCTCCCTGGTGGTGCAGGCAGTTGAGCACAGCACTGTGAAGCTGTCCGCGGCCTCTGCAGTGTGGGTTCGATTCCGGCTGGCCAGCGAGAATCCCACATGGCGCTGCAGACCTCTCCTTTCTTGCTCCTCCTTCTGCTGCTCCCTTCAGCAGTGTATTTTGTCAGTCTGCCTGTTCTGTTCCCCACTCTGTCTCTGGTGAATCCTCTCACCCTCCCGTGCATCTGGCCTGTACCCCGGTTCTTGTACAAATAAATAAATCTTTTAAAAGAAAAAAACTATGCTTTACAATACTTGCATATGACTAGAAAAGTTGGACAAACACAAAAACTTCTAGTACAAAGTCAATATTATAAAGTTATCACTTAGCTACTTCTTACCCACTCACTCGCTTAGACCGAGCTTCACCTGAGCCCATACAACTGAGTCTTGCCTAGAATTCACTAGGTAGAGGACCTATGTTCTCCAACAGTACACACACTTCCAACTGGGGGGGAGGGGACAGAGGAGGAGCAACAGATCAGAAAGAAGAGTGTTGACCTGTGAAATCAAGGATTCATCTATAACCAAAATAAATGTGTCCACAGGGATGGTGAGACGCTTTATTCTGGTGATGTCCGACTGGCAGGTAGTACATTAGAGTACACATATTATTTTTAAGTACCTTTTTAAACAGACACTAAATCTTACAATTAAAATTTTTATATGATGGATACAGAGTCTTCCACATTATTTTGTGGAAGTTTTAGTATCCATAGTGCCCAACTAGAAAACCACATTTTACAGATAAACTAAACATATAGCACATTCCCAGTATCACTATTAGGTACGAAATCAAAGTTATTTTATAGATATAATCAGCTTTTCCAATGCAGTTTTTTTCTTTTTAGTTCAATATGTTTTATGGCTGTTTATGAAACTGATATTTCTAAAACATAAGAAAGTATTTAAAAGCAGTGTTATGGGCTCCTAATTCCATAGGAATTCCTATACTGAAGATAAACTTTTAAAATATTAATTGGTGGTTTAGAAATGTCATTACCCTAACTCACAGGAAAAGGAAAGCAGCAGGCTCCGCCCACATGAGATTTCTCTCTGTGAGAAACCCCATGCAAAGCCTGCTAACTCATGTCTGCTACTCTTTTTTTTCTAAGTTCAAATACAGGCTTACATTTGGGGAAAGTTACTTTGGGGTACCTTTTAAACATACTCCAACACAAGCAAACATTTTTCTAACCGTCTGTCATTGTTACTGATAAAGAAACATGCCAGGATCTGAATAATTAGTCAAAAGCTTTTCTGAGACTTGCTGGAATAGACACTGGGCAGTGACTGCATCAAATTCTAATTCTGTCAAGCCTTTGGGAACTTTTAATAGAAAGCTAAGTAATAAGTCATCAAATTTCCATGTTAACTGGTAAGATACAAAGTAACAAGGATCTCAATAGTTGGCTTCAAGGTAGTAAGCAATCACAGTCACAGCACTAAAGACAGAAAGCCAGAGGTGTACTCCGGGAAAAGTTATACTTTAGTAATCCTCAACAATGGAGATTTAGAATCAACGGAACACAGGGCTGATCCCTGCATGGGGCATTTAGAAGTCTAAGGCATATAGTGTAATTAATAACAATATGGGAAGAGTGTTCTCCTCCCATTAAAAAAAAGTTTTTTAAATATTCAGGGCCCAATTCCCTGGAAAATGCACAGTTAACTTCTTTGCATTGACCAAGATGACTTGGATACACATAAAGTAAACTGTGTAGCTGCCTGAAGGGAAAAGAACAGTTTCAATCATATCAAGGAGAACAGAGGCGCCCCAGTGTTCTAGGATGCACCTCGGCAAGGACACCGATTGACCCTTTCCTCACTGACCCTCCCTCCTCTGCCTTTTCTCATCCAAAAATACACTGAGTCCAGAAACTTCTTTAATCCCACAAGTTTTTCCCACATCTGCACCTGGAGGAGGGCATGTTTCTGGTTAAAAACAAAAGTCTAAAAACCACTTTTGAGAATGAGAAAATAAGCAAGGGGCTTGATTCTCTAAGGAAGGACCCACGTCAGCAGATGCCACTTTCCTGGGCCCAGACATCACCTCATCTAACCAGAGCCCTCGAGTCAGACAGCCTCGTCAGACAGCCTCCGTCCAGGTCCCCAGCTGACAGAGCCCCGGGCGCGAGGGTGTGCTGGCCCTTTAAGGCAAGCAACGGGTAGCCCTCCCTCCTCTCCCCAAAAGCCCCACAGCAGATTTAAAGAATAAACAGCCGTTACCTGCTCTGCCTCTGCTACATCTTTTCCAGTACAGAACTCCAGCAATTCCAAGAACGTGAGTCAAAATAAAGAGGGCTGGTGGCAAATAAGATGAATCTAGGAGAGGCATTTCCAGTCGCCCTTTCTCTTCCCCTGTGTGAGCCACAAGCCCTCAGCCCGGCACAGGCCTCCAAATGCCTTTCTCCTGAGGTGACTGCTGTCCTGTGCTATCAGCACGGAGGAGAGGCCTGCAGAGTTGTCAGAAACTTCCTGGCGGCTTCTCCTCCATCTCGCCTCTGACTGTTTTTCAGCAGGCAGTAGGACACGCCACGAAAACTGCAAAGTGTATCTCAGACAAAGCCCAGGAAACAACTGGCCGGAGGGGGAGGGGAAGGGGAAGGAGGAACCAGGAGAGTGAAAAGGAGTGCCTAAGCCCGTGTCAGGCTGACTCAAACTCTATCTTTGGCATCCTCTGTTCAGCTTAAACAAACAAACCTCAGACCCTTCCACTGGGAGGGCGGGCGTTTCGAAGCCGTCACACTCTTCGCTTTCCACTCCCAGCCGGTTGAAATGCCAGACTTTAGGATGGAGCCCGAAGAAAAAAGTCACAGAAGCACCGGGGAGCCACTTGTGGGGAAGAGGCAAATCAGGGAGATAGGCGTGCCCGCTACAGCCGAGGCCACCTGTCCACACCCACAGCCTGGCAGGAGGAAGCATGGCCGACCCCAGCGCTGAGAGTGATCTTCAGAGTTGAAAGACCCAGCTGATTGCCACTAGCTGATCAAAGGCGCATCAGGACACTCACTGGCACAAGCAATGCTTTCCCCAAAATTGAGGCCTGCTTACAAACAAAAAAGATATGGACACTGTAGAGCACCTGAAAACGCTTTACCACCTCACACCTACTAGAATGACTGAAATTTTAAAGCTTGATAATGCCAAGTTTGGACAAGGATGCTGTAGCGGCAGGAAGGGCTTGGTGCAGGATGTCTACGATCCGAGCAGACATGGTAAAGGAGGGTCCTGGAGCCCTCCGTGGCTTTTTCAGGCTTTTATTGAGTTTACCAGGTACACAGCTTGGCGGGGGGGGGGGGGGGGGGGGGGGGGGGAGAGGGCAGACCTCCTAGCCCATGGCGAATCTTCACTCTTTCTGGGCTCTCTTGGCATTTTGCATCTCTGCTCCTTTCACTCTGCTGACGTTCTCATGATACCACTCTTATAAGCCCAGTCTTAGCCCAGGTAAGCCCACCTATGTATGCCCACACCCTACTCCAGGTGTCCAACTTCAGGCATGCATTTAATCTAATGGTGGGAGGGCAGAAAAGCCCGATACTTTATTTACCCTACAGATGTGAAACAACTACAAATTTCATACACCACTGGTGGGAATATAAATTGGCACAACCACTCCAGAAAACAGACTGGCAGTGTCTTATAAAGTTAAGCATCCACATATCTAATGACCAGGCAACCTCTCCTAGGTATTTATTTACCCACCCACCCCCAAATGAAAACATGTGTCTTATATGTGAGTGCTTACAGCAGTTTTATTCAAAAATAACTAAAAATTGGGGCCTCCCTGGAGGCGCAGACAGTTGAATGCCGCACTGTGAGGCTGTTCGCAGCCTCTGCAGCATGGGTTCGACTCCAGCCGGCCTGGCGAGAATCCCACATGGTGCCGCAGACCTCTCCTGTCTTGCCCGCTGCTCCCCTCAGCAGTGTATTTCGTCAGGCTGTCTGTTCTGTTCCCCACTCTGTCTCTGGTGAATCCTCTCACACTCCCGCGCATTGGGCCTGTACCCCGATTCTTGTATAAATAAATAAATCTTTAAAAAAAATAACTAAAAATTGGAATCAACTAAATATCCACCAACTGGTAACTAATAAACTATGGTGCATGGTATAGTGGATGACAGCCTAGCAATAAAAAGTATCTAACTGGGGGCCTCCCCGGTGGCACAGCAGTTGAGTGCTGGGTTGCGAAGCTGCCCACAGCCTCTGCAGCGCCAGTTCAATCCCCGGCCACCGGCGAGGGTCCCACATGGCGTGCAGACCTCTCCTGCCACCCACTGCTCCCCTCAGCAGTGTACTTCATCAATCTGCTCTCCCCTCTGGCTCTGGTGAATTCTCTCACCCTCCCATGCTTCTGACTGTACCCAGTGTTTGTGTAAATAAATAAATAAATAAATCTTTTTTAAAAAAAAAAAAAGGTATCTAACTGGGCCTCCCCTGGTGGCGCAGGCAGTTGAGCTCAGCGCTGTGAAGCTGTCCACAGCCTCTGCAGCACTGGTTCAATCCCAGCCGGCTGCCGAGGGTCCCACGCGGCGCAGCAGACCTCTCCTGTCGTGCCCGCTGCTCCCCTCAGCAGTGTATTTCGTCAGTCTGCCTGCTCTGTTCCCAGCTCTGTCTCTGGTGAATCCTCTCACCCTCCCGTGCATCTGACCTATGCCCAGGTTCTTATATAAATCAATCAATCAATCTAAAAAAAAAAGTATCTAACTGCTGATATATACAATGACATGAATGTAGCCTTGGCTACATACTTGGCTCCATTTACATGACATGCCAGAAAAGCACAACTATAGGGACAGAAATCAAATAAGAGGTTGACTGAAGCTGCAGGTGAGGAAGGGAAATGCCTCTAAAGGAACACAAGGGAACCTTAGGGAGTAATGAAAATGTTCTGCCTGCTGAGTGTGGTGACTGGTGCACCTGTCAAAACTCACTGAATTGTACACTTAAAAGGTGCATTTACCATATATAAACTATGCCTCAGTAAACTAACAGACATGTTTAAAGGCTGGAAAAAGTTTGCACAAGACCATTGCCCCTCTCCTCGTTTACTCTTCTCTAAAAGAGACACTTGACAAAATGAAGTGTGGGCACACAGCATGACGTGGAAGGCCCACAAGCCCAATAACAGGGAGCGTCCTCTATGACCCCCAGGGAAAAGGCAAAGCCTCTTCCTTCTGCTAAACTACTCAATTCTATGGTGCCTTTTACAGTGCGATATATAAATATGCTGTATTCTCGCAAACAAGTTTTAAAAATGTAAATTACTGTCTATGAAGGTTTTTTTAAGATTTATTTTATTTATTAATGCATACAAGAGCTGGGCCAGAGATGTGGGAGTTGAGAGGATTCACCAGAGACAGAGTGGGGAGCAGAACAGGCGGATCTACTGAAATACACTGCTGAGGGGAACAGCGGGCGAGAGAGGAGAGGTCTTCTGTGCCACGTGGGTCAGCTCCCTGGCTGGAGCTATTTATGCATAAATAAATAAATCTTAAAAAGAATGGGAAACTAGCCCCCAATACAATAATTCAAATGAAAATTGGTGGGTAAAAATGATGATGGTGGGACCAGGGCGTGGTGTTCGAGATGGCAAGATGCAGTCACATTCTGGATATGAAGAGTCATTGAGATTTGCTGATAGACTGGATATAGGATGAGGAGTGGAAAGAATGGTTCTAAAGTTTTTGGCCTGAAAAACTGAAAGAGCAGAACTGTTATTTCCTCAGATGGGAAAGATTTGGGTTCATTAATATTTGAGGTGTTTGGTATCGGGGAGGGGGTGGTAGGAATCCCCTTTTGAATACAGTAAGTTTGGAGCATTTCCAAGAATTCAGCACCCATGGGCCTCCCCTAGTGGCGCAGTGGTTGAGCACTGGGTTGCGAAGCTACCCGCAGCCTCTGTACCGCCAGTTCGATCCCCAGCCTCTAGCAACGGTCCCACATGGCACGACAGACCTCTCCTGCCACACCCAGTGCTCCCCTCAGCAGTGTATTTCATCAGTCTGCCTGTTCTGTTCCCTGCTCTGGCTCTGGTGATTTCTCCCACCCTCCCGCACTTCTGACTGTACCCAGTGCTTGTATAAATAAATAAATGAATCTTAAAAAAAAAGATAATCAAAAAAGAATTCAGCACCCAGACCCATCTCAAGTAGTTAGTAGCTTATGGGTTTTTTTCTAGGAGGTCAATGGTTTCAAGTCTTATATTTAAGTATTTAATCCACTTTAAGTTCACTTTTGTGTATGGTGTAAGACAATGGTCTGGTTTCATTCTTTTACATATCCAGTTTTCCCAACACCATTTACTGAAGAGACCATCCTTTCCCCATTGTATATTTTTGCCTCTTTGTTGTAGATGAATACATAAGGATTGAAATGCCCACGAGACATTACTAGCAGAACTTGAAATATGTAATCGAATATATGAATCTAGATTTCAGGAGGGACCCAGGCTAGAGTTTTAAAATTAGGAACCCACTTACTTAAGGAGTAAATACATAGATGAGATTAAGCACAAGCATTAAGCCCTGGAGACTCTCTAACACTAGATAGGGAAGGGGAAGAATCACTTAAAGACTGAAAAAGAGAAGTAATAATTAACCATATCAAAGCTATTAACATATCATGATAGAGACTGAGAACTGACTATTAAATCGTGAGGTTGCTGGTGGCGGACACAAGGGGAAGGTGGAGAAAAGGTCTGACCAGAGAGACTCAGGAGAAAATGGGAGGAGAGGAATCAGTGACAATAAGTAGAGCTACTCTTTCAAGGAATGCTGCTGTACATGGGAGCAGACAGAAGGCTGTAGGGTCAAAAGAGAATTTTTCTTGACATGTGAAATGGGGTAGTGTTTGCTGAAGAAAACAAGCACTAGAGAGGGAAAGCTGATGGTGCAGTCCAGTGGAGACGAAACTGGAGCTCTCTTGGAGCAGGTCTCTCTTGTGAAGCAGAACATCTCATTTATTTGTTCAATTAAAAAATAGGGAGTATTATGCCAGATGCAGTGGACACAAGGATCATGACAAGATACATTTGTGGAGAGGCTTCTGAGCTGTGATGAATAAAGAAGGTGGAGTTGCTTGAAAGGGAAGCTAGTACTATGTGCAGCTACTAAAAAGCACCTTCACATCTGCTACTTCAGCTTAATCCCTGCAATATCCCCTTAAAAATCAAGACCTTGAGGCTCAGAAAATTCAAATTATTTTGCCCAAAGTCACAGTCAGAGGATGACCTGACATCTAAACCTTTATCTGTCTAATTCAAATCAATGTCTTTTATCATACTAACTCCTCTTGCTAAAAAGTTCTGGCAAAGTAAGTATACAGTCTTGAGCAATTTTAGCTTTTTATATGTTTGGGATATTTCCTCCTTGCAAGACTTAGCCTATAAACAGCTCTACCATAACCCAAAGAAAATCAATTATATTGCATGTTAATGTTTTTAAAATAAAATTTTTAAAAATGATGCTAAAAAAAAAAAAATAACAACAACAGCTCCCCCTGGCTCTAAGGAAAGAATCGCAACATCAGTACAAAACAGTGCCAGTGCTGTCTGCATCACCTTCATTTACACAGCAGTCTTGTTGCAATCTTATAATATCTTCACCATATTTATTTCCCAAAGAAAAAACCACTTCTTTGCCTTATTCTGCTACCCAAAGCCATTGTAAAACTGTCACAGTAAGAAAATCTTACATCACGCTTATGCCATTCAAAAAAAAAACTAGGAAATCTGAAGGGAAAAAATATCCCAACCACTCAAATATCAAGATATATTCTGATACATCGTTAGAAGAGACAATGAAAACTATCCAAAGTAAT